AGATTTTGTTCTTCAGAAAACTGAAGATTCTTGTTGTACAAATCTTTGGAGAACACATATATGATCTCCATAGGGGACAAATGAAGATCATTTTTTTTGTTTGTTGAAGAACACAGATTTTTAACAGTGTGGTACACGCCTATATCGTATGTTAACGCAATAACATATACGTTCCGATCAGCTACAATAATTTTTTTCTAATAAGTCGCAATAGCATTCGGAGGATATCCCGTACTTCAATATTTTTTTTCTAGTTTGGTAATCAAAGGCTCATCTAGCAGTCTATCAGACATTTCGGTATCATTCTAATAAGCTGGCTACTTTCTCCAAGTTTAAAGACGAGAGAAGCCAAAAAACAATTAAATTTTTAAGAAATGTGGCTAAAAATGCTTCTGGAACCGTTCCGCACTTTCCAAATAATCAATAGTTTTCATACAACTTTCGTATCGATCGTTTGGATAATCAATTAGTCTCTATGAATTTTAAATAGTTTGTATAGCAGAACAAATGTTGTTCTACTACGGCTGATAACATTGACTTAGCTAGTGAGTATATTGGGGGAAGAAGGAAGCAGTTAAAAATGGCTTAAAACACTTTCTATAGAACAAAATTTAAAAGACAAACTTCTAAACATCTTTTATCGCAATATATCCTGATAGATGATGATGATTCATCAATATCTTATATAGTGATCAAATTATTGCAATAATGAGAGATTGATTTCATCGTCACTGGACTTTTCGCTACTTTTCATAGCATCTACCATCATTATGAACTTATCCCAGTCGTTATTGCAAGAGAAAATGCATCTACTTGATTTTTCAACTTGTAATGTGCTTCGTCGTTTTTCTGTCTGTCTCAGGCACGCCAGATGGTCATGTCTGAGTAATTGATTTGTATGAATTTTAATAAAAAACAACTTCCTCTTGATATCCATATAGAAGAGTATTGTACAGAAACTATTTTTACCATAATATAATGTGTATTTTTCAAAAAGTTTTCATTGTGAATATTTGTATCAATTCAGTTGTTGTATGAAATATATTTTTTTTCTTCTATTTTTGAAAGCTAAACACACAAACACATTATTGTGTGTGTCTTTGATTGTGAACTGTACGACAGCAATTAAAGTAAGTTCTAGGTTTATAGTATTGAATGAAATCCAAAAGTCAGTGATACGGCTAATATGTAATAGCCATTTTCACACCTCTTATATTTATTTATCATGTAAGAGCAAATGCATCGCGATAAAGTTGAAAAGCAAGCGCGTTAGAAAAATACTGGAATAGAATGTGACATATGTTTTATAGCGATTTATCTAGCTAGAAATAGTCACGAGTCATGATGTTTTTAAATATCAATAGATATAGTAAATATCTCGATGTAATCTGTTATTGTGATAACTTTATATCGCGTTAAACCTTATACGCACGTAATATTTTCGTAAGTTTGAACCGTCATCGAGATTTAGCATTACTTTTAGTATAAATAAAAGTCCGATGCACTCACTGTTTTAGATTTTAATTGCAAAAAAATGGTTTCCTCTAATTATGTGGGTGAACTTTGCATAATGTAGGATAAATAATAATAGAGAGCACCACTCATTTTTTTTTATGATAGGAAATGGTATAATTGTAGGGAAGTTCCATTAAAAAATTTAAAATCAAAATATAAAGTTCTATTTAAAGTAAAACGTGAAAAGTTTTATTAGCATCTTTAGTAGACTTTTATTGAACGTATATACTCGCACATTAATATTTAGTTGCCAACAGCTGCCCTGTGATATCGATTCCATATACCAGTAAGTAGTCAAAATAAGTTTGACTTTATTTTTGCAGATTTTATCAGATTTAAACCATTTTGTATGATCTATGATAAATAACAGAGACACTGGCCTAGCTCGTGAATAATACCATCAATTTTCTCTATTTAGATCAGTATTTCAAACATCATGCAGGTCTATAGACTGATCACTAGTGCCGCTCTCTTCATCGTTTTATTTATTGGTTATTTATCGGCGGCAAATGTTTTGGCGTTAGAAAGTGTTTATCCAGAAAATGAGCTTGTAAGCTTAAGAAAGTTTATCTTAATCTGAGAAAACTAAAGGAATAGTGACATATTCCTTCTAGTAACTCTATTTTTTCTTTCATTCGTTTATCTTGTCTATCTGGTATAATCTTTGTTAGTGCAAACTATTTTTGGTTTTTGTATTTTTTTAGCATTTGGATCAAGAATTAGCCGATAGTCCAATTAGATATCTCGCAAAACGTCGTTTCCTACCAACACGTCGAGATCTGCAATTATGGCCATACAGTTTAAATAACGCAATGGATGACGATTTCGAAGCTGCTCATTTGAATAAACGCTATTTTCTTAAATCGAAACGCTATTTTCTAAACAGCAAACGAGACAATGAGAAAAGAGACGAGGTGAGTTCGCTAATGAAAGTTATTTTTGTAGATTCTGTCAAAATCTTGACTTACGAGATGTTCTACGACCTCAAGTCCGGAAATCTTGAAACGCCAAAAAGCCCCAATTTAGCATTAAAATGTTCAATTTCTTGATCTTGTCTTGAGTTTGTGCAACGTTTTGGGACAAGAAGCCACACTAGAGTGATAGGCGAAAATCATTTCATTCTTCCTACAATAATGGTCAAAATCACGCGATTCCATGCATCTCTGTCCATACCCATACGAGATAGTCATTTGAGATTTAGTATACATATAGTTCTCATCATATGCTCATTGCTTATATCTCATATAAGTTGCATGTGCTGGTTTCAAATACATAAAACATCACAGATGTTTTACAACCTCTTATCTTTTTGACACTTTAGATGATTATTGAAAAAATATCCATTACTTGGTCTAAAAACATCATTTTGACTCGAAATCTTAGGACACATCGTTCTACGTACCAAAAGTTTACAAAATTTCAAGGTTAAGTACTGCAGATGATCCTTTGCAATACATTTTCTTTTTGCGATGAAAGTTTTCAGCTTTACTTAAGTTAAAGAATACTTACTGGTATTTCGATCTACGTTAATCGCCACTAAGATTATTTTTTAAAAATGAGTTCATATATAAATAGAAAAGATAATTTCTAATAATTTTGAATATTTAAAACAGAGTAGATTGATACTCAATCAAGCACCGTAATTCTACTAAAAAGTAGCTAAAATGTAATTATACATTGAAAATCTTCTTGAATTTTTGGTGTAGATAATCATAAGTTTCTACTGTTGTATTTTTCGATTATTATAGTTCTCAGATAATTTACACTTTATAGTACTGATGTATTTAAAAGTCATTTATAACCAAAGGATGATGCAAAAATTTAGGCAACTTAGAAAAAAAGTTAAAAACTTCTTTCTTATCGTCAGTGCCATATCAATCAACGTATTTTTCTTACAGAGACAGCTACAACCTTGAAATTATGCAGTACTAATGTTATAGCTATAAATACTTGTTTGCGATCGTTTGACGTTTTTTGTACGGACAATAAGTAAGAAATTTAACTTTTTTTCTAAACTTTTGGATCACCCTTTAACTATAGTTCAACGTCACAACTTGCTTACACAACACTTATATCTATTTACTTTTTATTTACGCAACCATTAAGTTGTGTTGAATGATTTCTATATTGACATAGAATGTCTCATTCATATGAAAAAGTAGCTATGATAAATTTTCATACCAAAAGAAGTTATCTAATATGCGTAGTGGTTTGAGAAGGGATGATGATGAAAGATTATTCTTGAAAAAATCAAAAAAACTAAGCTTGCAGATGCAAAATTTGTGAAGAATAAGTGAAACCAATAATACATCTTGTCCAGCCGTCATTCAGGATAGAATACAAACAAGTCTACATATTTTGTAACGAAAGTCTGTATCAGCCTCCATCATCAATTAAAAGATGCTAACCAATTCTCTAATTTTAAATAAGCTCATTAATAATTTTTAATTGCATTTAAAACTATTTCATTTTTTTTGCTAAACATTGTTAAATTTTAATAAAATACTTTTAAAGTCAAATTGTACGTTGTCATGAAGAAGAGCACTGTTAGTTTCTTCAGTTTTGTCATATTAGATGTGTCTTAAACATTTCGTATGTATTTGGAGCCATGAGATACAAGCAATGAGTATATGATGAGAACTATATATATACTAAATTTCAAATGACTATCTTGTATGCGTATAAAACATAGATGTTCTGAACCAGTATTGTAATTGCATTCCTTCTGATGTATTTCTTTATATTTGAACTGATACATTTGCTTTTATTTTTGCAGGAATGATTAAAAAGGACAATACCAGAACAATATTTTATTGATTATGTTTGTCTATAAATAGCTAATTTTAACAAATGTTTTTTTTTCTTGTGTGCAGTGCATCAATTAGGTTGTAACAATGGCCAGAATGAAATATATTTTTTTGTATTACGTATTACTAAAAATGCGTAGTTATTTATCCATCATAGTTTTCTAATAATACAATTCCTTAGTCTTAATGTAGTTTACCTTTCATTATAAATCCATCGCATGGATAATACAAAATTGTTTCACAGAGTAACACATGAAATCTGCTTCCTAACAGAGACCTTTTTTTTGTAACCAACAAGATAAGAGAGTTCTTGCTATGATTCAATTCAAGAAAATGATTGTCTCTTTTTATTGAACGAAGCCTAGACAAAATTCGAACTTATCATAAATTAAACTGAATAGTGATTTGTTTACATCGTACTTAGATTTCTACGTATCAATCACACTATGACTTTATTTGTTCAAATAGGTAAAATTCAAACGAAACAAAAAAAAAAACATACTTTTGCCATTTAACATAAAACAGAACAACGATTTATATTGAAAATATAACACAAACTAACAAACAAAATAGGCAGAAAAGAAAGATTAGTTTTACAAGTGACTATGCTCAAGGCATTCAACATTCATTCTCAACTTAAAATCACCGGCAGCAGCAGGTTGATTAAAAGAATACACACTTGAGACTATATGACTAGAAAATATATTGAAGTTTTCTTGAGTTTATTACAAAACATAAATTCTCTGAAACATTTATATTTATTGAAATTGGTTAAAAATTGAAAATTGATAGTAACAAACATAAAGTTTGTCATAATGGTGGGATTAGATGAAAAATAATAAAGAAATAATCTTAATCTATAGAAGTTTCAATATACTGGCTGCTTCATATCTGAACAAGAGAGATTGTGTTGTGTTTTTTTATTTTTTATAATATTTTTTCTATTCGAGAGGTATGCTTATTTTTCGACTATATATCTCAAAATAGTTAGCAAATACAGAAGAGAAAAAGAAAGAAAGTAAACATCACACACACCAGGTAAGAAAAGAAACTCACGATGAGACCAAAACATTTTACTAAATGTTCAAGAGGTATTTAATGTTGAATGGTAATTTTTGATGGAGGAGGACGTCGTGTTGTAATATTGAAACAATAGATGTTAAGATGGTCACAAATCTGTCTGACCTAAATGATAAATAAACAGAAATCCAATAGTTTGTAAACATATGGATGATTATGCAATGGATGTGCTAGACTAAATGGTGGTCTCAGTATTTCCTATTCATCTCGTGTCTCTTCGAGCTAGTTCTTCATTTAGAAGATTTGCCGCTCATTTCTGTAATGTTTTATTACACTTTTTAGGTTAGAAAGTTGACTAATACAGAATTCTAAGGAATCAACGGAGAAAACGATAAATAGAAAATACTGAGATTGTCATTTATTCTGATGATCTTCGTTAACTTAACATACCACACAAACAGCATAATGAATGTGTAAAATAATGGCATAAATATTATACAAATGTAAAAGTGTAAACTCGACAACTTTTGTTAAATTACCAAATACAACTAAACATTGTATGGGAACATAAACATATAAAAATGAATTTAGTCCTTCTGAACGTGTTGATGTCATTTGTGCAACAACTAAGCGACACTAAAAAAATAAATAATATGTAGAGAGTAAATAAAATTTTTATGCAATTGAATTAACGAACGGCTATGTTTGAAAATGTTGCACCAATGGCTGAGAAAAATACACGTGGTTGTTTTTCTAATATCATATTAGGAGAACATAATGCCCACCATGTTGATGAGATAAATAATATACTAGATGAGATTAGTGGACGAATTGCTTCATATAGTGTGTGATTTTTTCCCGTTCGATTTTTGTAAGCACTATTTTAATTAGAAAAACAAATGGGAATATAATGCAAAAATATCTTGATGATTGTCTACATACTTTCGAATATTTATTATTGAAATTGGAACTGATGCACCCAGCGCAAAACCTACGATGAAATAACGAATATTAAAAGTGGTTTTAAGTTGAAACAAACAGAAAGGCTCGACTTCTTACAAGGCCAAAAAATTTGAACGGCATGAGCAAATGTAACATGAATAAATGGTAAATACCAACGAAATATTGATGGTGAGAAAACAAATGTTACAAGATATGTCAATGTCATTATCTACAATACACAAAAATCAAGCATAAATAATAGTTGGATTTTCTACAAGTTCTCGTACAATGACGAGAACAAACGTTCTATCTCTAAAAAGTATAAAGTATAATGATTTAATTGACTAACCAACATTGATATGTCGTATGACCAGGGTAAATATAAAATTTTCGTATTATATTTCTCCCAATGTGAATCGATAAATGATATATAAATCGTCCATAATAGAAAATGCATGGCAATTACACTAAAACCATATTCATCTCGAGATAATACGGAAAAAACACACACAGGAAATAAAAATGATGCCCAACTATCTACACCATGATCAAATAATTCCCCAAGAGCACTGCTTGCTTTAGTGCGACGAGCTTGTTTACCATCCATACCATCTGTAATAAAAATTTAAAACGGTATCCAATTGATACGAAACATAGGAATTGAAAAATATCACAGAAACCATTCAAGAGGCTTATACTCCTTTACCAAGTTGATGAGATCCAAACTGACAAATTGCAGCCACAAGCCATAACCATCTGGGAATCGATGTTGTTTCGGAAAAATCATAATCATAGATTGAAAATAGAATGAAATTAACAACTAATAATAAAAAACCAAGTAATGTCATTAAGTTTGGAGCAAACCATAATGGGAAAAACTAAATAAAAAAACCATTTTTAATGTTTTCTAATGAATGGCAGACAAGTTTTCACTTACCTCTACACATCGATTCCAAAATGGTTGCATAATATAATTAGATACTGGTGATGTATCTACGGCACTGTACTAAAAACAAAAAGAACGTGATAAAAGCAATTAGTAAATAAAATTCTACGTTTATCAAACATACTTTGTAGTTATTCAATCCCTTCAAATGATTATCGTTCAAATATTTATAATTGATTACGTCCATATCGGCTGGAACAAGATTAAAATCTGATATTATTTAAATTTGAGAATAATGATAATGTATCTGAGAAGTTTTTTTCGAAATCCAAGAGAAGTGGCTAGGATATTGACCTTATCACCGTTTTGTTATAATAGCTGCAGATACAACAAACAATATCATACGATGATCTAGATGAAGAAAAACAGACTGGATTGTATGTTCTATGTTATATTATATGCAGCACAATAAAAGCATTTTATCTGTTGCCAAATCACGTCGGTTAGTTTAAAAATTGGATGATCAAGTAAGGTTGATCTTCTCCGGTGACTTGTATGGATAAAAGAAATGCTGGAAATCCCATAATGCTCTCAAAAACCCCAAGATACTATCTATATAGTATGAAAAAACGAGTTCTACACAGCCATTAACAAAGTTTCTAGAACAACGAATCATCCTCTAGTAGAAATGATCAAAGAAAATTAGATTGGTTTAATTCAAACAAATCATATTTATTTTTCTAAACAAAAACAAAAAAGTATTGTGCAGCGAAAAAGGATCAATTTACGGTTTGTTTTTGATACATATTAACTAACTAACTTACTATTAATTTCACCGTAATAATTGTTGATTTATTTTTCAGAAGATGTTTAGTTTGCAAATTCCATTTTCTGATTCATGTCGACGTATCAGATATTGTGTATTTTTAAAAACTGATTTTACTTTTGGAATACTGGGGTAAGATATGTTGATTTTTGATTTCTGTAAAGTGTTTGATTCTATTTGTCATTCTTTTTTGTTAGAAAACTGTCTTGTTGTGATACGAATGATCATCCTCAGTGTATGAACGTGAATGATTTTATTTCTTCTCATTCTGTTGTACTTGTAGGCATGCTCCAAGACAGTGTGTTTAGATCGCGTCTGTTTCTTATTTATACCAAGAATCAATCTCTTTATCTTCCGCATAATTGTGAAGTGTGTCTTTTGATCGATGACATATTTTGTATTTGTATCTCTTCTCCTTGATCCTCTTAATTTTACTCACGTTTAAAACTGTATCAGTTCTATTTCATATTGATATTCTTCTAATCCCATGACTCTAAATGTGTATAAATCTTCTTGGCTTCTTTTCTCTGTTGAATTTTTTTACAATCAATAACATCTAAACAAACTTCCCCTCTGTGTTATCTTTCCTGTTTGTTTTCTTGGTGTTCTTGTTTGGTATGATCTACGGTAGAGTGAGCATGTGATAGATATCACTCTTGCTTGTCAACGCAGACGGGAGCACTGGAACGTGTTAGTTTTTGATAACTATAAAGAACGAATAAAGAAAAGTAACTACTAAAATAAAATTGTTCATAATGTCACTATCGTTTTCCTCTATCATGAATATTTTAGAGAAAATTTATCATTGCCTTAGTCCGCTTTACATTTTCTACGCTATTGATTGTGCTCACTATTCGTCATCACGCCGTCATTAGTATAAATGTGTTCGTATTCCACCTTCCGTTGATGGCATTTTTCCAGTAACTATTTTTTTTTTCTGCACTTTTTTTCAACTGTTACTGACTAAAATAAGCTCCAAAAGTCAGACATTCATTCTTTATCATTAACTTCATTCAAAAAAACAAAAATCGTTCCAACACCTTTTACGATAAAATTTAGCCATATTTTCACGCAATAATAAAATCGTCTTAGTTGTTCTGTTTTTAATTTTCCATTTAATGTTTTTTGATTTTTGATTTCCGAATCGCATAATCTAGTTTCCTTTTTTATTGAGCGTAGAAAAAAAACACTTAAATTGAGCTATTTTTTATTATCGTTTCTGTTTGTGAAATTTTTGATTTTCTCACGCTGTTAAAGAAAATATGAATAAAGGAAAGTATACAGAAAATTTTAGAAAAAGATAACCAACCTCTGCCAATCACTCCATCGATGACCATCTCTAGTCATTGTTATGATGGATCGTAGACGTTTGATGACTCTCACTTTTTATGAATAGATTCCCTCATTCCACTGAATAGTCGTATAATAGAGAATAAATAGATTATTAAATCGTTTAAAAATCTTTGCTTCATACGTAAAAAGTTCGAAACAATTTGGAATTAGAAAACTACCGACTTAATGTATTTGAAACGATTGAGACAAATAGATTAATTTTAGTTTTATGTGTATATTCTATTTTTTATAAAGAAATTGTGGAATTCGTTTGTTTTAACTTGATAAATTTCTACGGAACTATATCTTTTTTTGAATGAGAAATAGAATCTCTCTCTCTATATATACATATCACCCGTAATCTTTTATTTATTAACAGAGTGATAGAATTACTCAGAAGCGGATATATTAACTAAACAGACAGGTTTTTTGCGCAAACTTGTACAAGAGACTTTTAAAAAACATATATTAGTGGATTAGGAGCATTTCATTCTATTGTCAAATTGAACAGCTATGGTATAACACCGGTTTCAAGAGGATCAAATAGTTTTGATAAGCCGGGATATGGAAATTTTATAGTATTAACTGTGTATATTAAGTTTAAATTTCGTTGCAGCAGATCTTTATCTGCTTTGATCTGATGTTGTATTTTTAAAGATACAACTGCATACTTTTGTGTATGCTGATCACTGTCAAAATAAAATAGACTTAAGTGTTTTTGAAATACTGTTTGATGTTTGGACTTTGAAATGGTTTATTGAAGATTTATTAGCTGTCCCTCCCTACTGCTCTAATTTAACCGATGGAGATCTCAAAAATGATTGGATTATATTTTATATGTTATCAGTCACGTTACATGTTGTGACAATATTTGCTTTGAGAAAATAATGTAAAAGAAACTTGGAGCCATGTGAGAAATCGAGAATTTTGGTAAAAATTATCATGCATACAAATTTATCAGTGAATCAAATTTGCGTGACTAGCACAGGATTTTCTATTAAAACTTATTTAGAAAAAGTTCACATCCATTCTGAAATGGCATAGTATTTATTAAGTGTCATAGAAAACATGAAAATAAACAGTTAATTAGTTTTGACAAAAAAAAGTTTCAATTTAATTATACATACATGTCTACTTTTCTTACAACAGATCATTTTGTTATGCCGTTCATTAGAAGATGTTACGTACATAAATATTCAATATCACTTAAGGTACAACGTTTATAGCAACAATCAATACGTTGTTTCGTTGTTTCATTGATTGAATAATTCAAATGATTATTTTTAACAAGTAATCGACACATATTTTGTAGTAAATCTTTAAATTTCACTGTACATAGATAATAGAATACTGATTCTAATGAACATCGACTAACCTTACACCATTGATTATCCGTATTTAATAAGTCATTTTCTTTGAATAATTTATTGTGATATAATATCATACATTCACCATCTATAAATCGTTTTTCATAGGTTATATTTTCACATTTGGATGAAACAGTCTTAAGAGTCTCCAACGGTGCTTGAACAGTTTGATCAATAAAAAGATATAATATAAAAAAACAACTTAATAGAATAGTAGCCATATGAAAAAATTTTATCTGAATGAAGATATTCTATTTTTGATCGTGTATTTATAGAACTGATCAACTCCTTTTATATCTTCTCAACATATTTAGCATGATTAATTTGATTTTTATAGAAATGAACTTTTTAATAGCTTTTTCATGATCATTAACATATGGTTAAACATCCGTTTTTTATTTGAACATATGTTCAGTTCAAACTTAAACTATTAGCAGAAAAAAAAATTTTTTTTTTACATTTTTAACAAATTTTTACTTTGACTTGTCGATTTAAATTATAATTAGTTCTTTCATGAACAATTAATATTCTGTTAAGTTATCTATTAATATTATTGTTGATGTGTCCCTTGGTTTGATATTAAATCCCATTTGAGACAGATTTATATTACAATTTTTGGAGATAACGTTGGCATATTCATTCTTTATCATGTTTTTAACTGAAATAAAGTCATCTAGGTTTAATATGACCGATAGCCTGTAAAAAAAATTTTTTTTTCCTTTTTTCGTAGTAAAGTTTCATTGCTAAACACACAATGTCAAGTTTTTATATGTTTTCCAAGAAGATGTATTACATTGTAGAAAACTTCGAGAAAGATATTTCTCGTTTGAGCTCCTACGCGAAAGAAAATCCTCCTTGTTGGTTCAAGATTTTTGAATAGACAATCATCTATAATTCTGAATTTCACAAACTTCACAAAATATTTTTGCTGGAGTCTTTCAATAGTCTTTCATTGATAATCTCAATATTAACACTATTGTTGATATTTTATGAATCATCTTGCTGTTATTACACAACCGCATTAAGAATAATACACGTTTGACAGACTATATAATACATCATATTCGCATAATATCATACCACATTGAAGAAAGAGAAGAATATAAAATTTAATAGGTTTGTGCTTAAAAGATCTCTCACTTCTATAATGTTTTGCTCACTTAACATGCCCATTTGTTTTTTTTGTTCAACTACTTTAAAAATGTAACTAGAGATCACCTATGCTTTCCGAAGATTAGAAAATCGACTAAGTAAAACGACAATCAGAAACAGTTAGAATATCAACAAAACTTTATGGAGATAGCCAGATGGAATTTGTCTTTACACAGAGTATAGAAAACTATTCCGATAATCGATGAACAGTAGTTAACCGACTACTTATCCTTTCCGTTTATGCTATACCCTAACAGCTGCACGGTATGATAGTTGATAGTGATTAGTTGAATTTGTATTATATATGATGTAGAATGGCTTGAAAACTTTAGGATGTATACTGTTTAGGCTATTCCATATCCTACTGATAAGAAATCCACAAAAGCTAATTGACAAAATCCTATAGTTTTTCGAAAGCGTTTCCAGAAAACTTTTTATCAAAAACATGCCTTTTCAATATTTTCGATCATATAATCATGTTAAATCGACAAAAATAGCTTCATTCTGAAGTTTTCAAGCCATTTTGATGTTTTTCGAGTGAATTGTGAATTGTTTAATATTAGATGAAAACAGCGTGAAAACTCCAATTTTAATAAAATTCGGTTTACCCTATTTTTGAATTCTTTTCCCAAAATAAACATTGCCAGAAGGTTCAGCGTGGTCAATTACGTATCTTCCATCTGATTTCAAGACTACCTGAAATCAATAGATACCAGTTCTGAGGTTCCAAGGAAATCGGATACCACGCTCGAACCACTGGAAATCAAGATCTCGCTTGACTCCTATTTTGAAGAGGATACTTTGGATTATCTACACATGAAGAAAACAAAAGCATTGGAGCTTGGACTTTTTGAACTATGAGTTGGTTTTCCAAAGATCTTCTAGAAAACCTACTTTAGAAAAATATTTTTCACTTAATATCAGTTATTAAAATGTGCCCCAAAATCTCTTCTTTGGAATGGTGAAAACCCGAACTCTCTATCATATTTCGTTCTCGACCTATTTGAAAAATGGCCACCGGCATGCAATTTTGAGAAGGGCAGTGGGGTTATACTAAAATATATATTGGAAAAATATCCGTTTCATTTCTCCTTTCGTTTACTCATTCAACTTAGATACCTTCCACTACGTTTGAATATTTTATATAGGACTTAAAATGTCAGTTGTACAAAATGGTATCGTACAACAATGCATAAATCTTCCTACGGAAAAAGATAAGGATAAATTGGCATTTCTACTCTATAATGTATTCACAAAAGACGAATGTCAACAACTAATTGATATGTCTGAAAAAGAAGGATACAAACCAGCTTTAGTGAACGTTGGGTTTGGTCAAGAAATGCTTATGCCTGATTTTCGTAACAATGATCGTTGTATTATTGATAGTATTGATTTAGCTGATAAAATATATCAGAGAATTGAATCTTATATTCCAAAAGAATGGAACATCAACGGTAGTACATATAAAGTTGTAGGATTAAATGAACGACTCAGATTTCTTAGATATGATCCAGGTCAAAAATTTGAAGCACATATGGATGGTGAATTTCGAAGAATGGATGATACCGAAGAGAGAAGTTATATTACAATACAACTTTATTTAAATGAAGGATTTTCGGGCGGTGAAACGACATTTTTAGATAAACATAATATAAATAACTCTTTTCCGTGCATACCACAAACGGGAATGGTTTTGGTTTTTGAACATCGACTATTGCATGAAGGCAGCGCTCTTAAAGATGGAAGAAAGTATGTAATACGAACAGATGTTATGTATAAACCAAAAAATAGACTCGCATTCACACAGAATACGGTTTGATACAAGAGAAACTATCATTTAAGCAAGAGTTGAGCCTTCAGTTTCCACTGTGGAATATTACATTTTTTAAAAGTTAAAATAAATAGACGAAATCTCTTTTTTTGTCTATTATTTCTTAATTAATAGATCGGTTAAGTCTCATTTCTGCCTGGTTAAAGCTTTCTTTGCCGATATTAGAAGTGAAATGCCCATGAAGGACGAAAACGTCTTAGTAACACAACTAGTTTTTACATTACTACCCATGAAAACACGGAGGGTATTTTCCGGATATTTCTGATAGTTTTCCATGGCATAATCGTTACTGTCATGACTCACGAAGATTGCTCTTAATAACAGTTTTTCTAGCTAAGTTTAAACTATGTCGCAATTATGCTTTATCCTTACACCCGAAACATTAGCCATGAGTAAGACTTCTGTCATGACTCAAATATTTCTTATTCATGCAAGGATTTTATCTGATTCAAAAGAATACGAAAAAGAATTTGTGAAAGTCGCATCGCGACTTGCAATACTTGAAAAAAAGAAACATCAAAATGTCGAACTGAAAGTGTGACTGACTAGTTTCAAGTGATAATGGAAAGTAGTTTCTTTAATTATTTTAATTGCTTTTTAACTCCATTCCATCCTACTTTTTCTAATAAAAAAAGACAAAAAAAAGAAAAAGAAATGAACACATGTTGCGCATGGTAACATGTATTTTCGTCTTTCAACGTGCACACTCAAATAGTATCAAAAAAAGATCACTATGTCTTTCTTCAATACGGAGTGACGAGCTATTTTTACCTGTGTGTTTGTGCACTCTTTTCTATTGTTTATTACACTTTATTTCAACTAATAAATAGCCGAAAGTGAGTCAGGAAGAGTCGCTCGCTATAGATAACTAAAGAAGAATCTTTCTCACTTTTGACTTGTTACAAGGATAAACTATCTCCATCGTTCTTTATGTTTCCAATTGGAAAACTAGTCCAATTTTAACTAGTCTGGATGCCCAAAAGTGACTTGAACTGCCGACTAATTCTCTTCTGAGAACGTCTACACAAATGACTAGTTAGGGACTGGTAATTAATGCTGACTAGTTACACAAACGAACTAGTCAATAAAGTGACTCGTCTCAGTTATTTATCAAAATTAGAAAAATTATTGTCACAGGTGGAAATCGAACCTACTAACGTATGTATGTAAGTGACTAACGCCGTGTATGCTAGTTAAGGACTGGTCAGTTTGCGAGCAAAAATGGGTCAGTCAACAATGAACTAGGTAGTAAGTAGTTCGTTTTTTCTATCTACATTCTAAAAGAAAGGTGGTCTTCAGTTTTTCAAAGAACTGAAAAATCAACGGGAATTTTGTTATTCATTTGTCCCAAATAGAGAACTCAAAATCTCTTCCTCAACTGTCAAGAACTCAAAATTCGTTCTTTAATTTTTGAAAAAGTGATTTTTTTCGTTCTTTGGAGATCGAAGAACAAATTTTGAGTTCTTGACAGTTGAGGAAGAGAATTTGAGTTCTCTATTTGGGACTAATGAAGAACAAAATTCCCGCTGATTTTTCAGTTCTTTGAAAAACTGAAGAACACCGTTTTTTAATAAATGTCCTACAGCTAGTTTTGCTCGAAGAAAGCATTTTGGGACAAAACTCTGTTTGTCTGTACAAACAAACTCTCTACTGTCTATACAAAAGTTGCTCAGTATCGAATTTTGGAGTCTCTCACGAGAGCTTTTTCCAATTTCAAAACCTAAAAATAGTTTTTCAAAAAAAGCTCTCGTGAGGGACTCCGAAATTCGATACTAAACAACTTTTGTACTCAGAGTTTTGTCCCAAAATGCTTTCTTCGAGCAGAACTAGCTGTAAGGTACGGTGAAAAAATCTTCACTAGGCACAAAGCTAGCGATATTTTCAAGTTTTGAATTTTTCGTGAAACTCTGCCAGTCTGTAGAGGATACTTCGCAGTATATGTTCTAAATGTTTTTCCGCTTACTGAGATTATTTAGCTGAGAAAAAAATTAATTACTTTAAAATATGTTGTTATATTATTAAAAAAGTTTCTGTCCATTCTCCATTCAAATTCATACGAAAATTTCACAAGCTACATCAGATAGACTACCTTTAATTCTGTGAAAAAACTCTATGAGATGAGATATTGCTTGAATTTATTCGTTGAGCCGTTATTTTACAAATAGGATGTTAAGAGAGCACAATAGCATAAATTAACACGTTCACAAGAACAACTTTATCAAGCTTTCAAAAATTAAATGAATTATATATGATACAGGGCAGTGAACGTGTTAACATTAATTCGCACTAATTAGTTAATAACGCGAAGGAAAGAAAAATTTTTTTTACATACTTTCTTGTAGTAAATATTCTCCACACATTTCTCTATCGATCTACGCAAAGATCAATTTTCTATGATGAATGGAGAAGGACAGGAAATCTTTTAATAATATAACAACATATTTTAGAGTAATTAATTTTTTTCTCACCTAAATAATCTCAGTAAGCCGAAAAACCTTTAGAATGTATACTGCGAAGTATCCTCTACAAAGTGGGAAAGTACGAGAGAAATCTAAATGAGAGAGTTCTTTTAATATAATAGTCGCACTAAGAGTCACAAACTATAGCGAACTAATCGCGATCGCAACGGAACTTCACGATTTAGGTATGATCGCAGTTTGATATAGGCGACCCTTATGTGACACCGACACAATGAATCGTGAATTTATCTCGACCGTTTTTGGGCCACGATGGGAAGTGTGATTAAGTTTCGCATACTTGACCACAACTTGTGGTCAAGTATGCGAAATTTCCAGTTCCACTATGGAAATGCAAAAATTTTTCAGAATTGAAGGAATCTCTCCATTCGGAATAGTCTTGTCTTTTGTGCGTTGGCTCGAGTTAGAGTTTTTCGCTTTTATCTTTCCATTTTACCAACCACAGATGGGCGCGTTCGCGTCATGGCCTGAATTTCAGTCGGCTCGAGTCACATTTTTCCATGACTCGGGCTGGAACTCGAATTTGAGAGAAAGGATTCAATAAACTTCATAAACTGACTTGAGTCATTTCCAGTCAGTCTCTATCCGTTTCCAAGTTAATGTTTTTGAAAAATATTCGAAAATAGCACGCTATCCATAGTGCGTTTTTGAGCTGTCTCGAATCGAAAGTGCCTGGGTTTGAAATTTTATTTACGTTACGTATATTAGATGTCAGATGTCGCTCTTTATAAGACTATTAGCAATTTCTATACTAAAACCCGGTTTCGGGTTTAAAATTTTATTTTAAATTACAAAAAAGCGAATGACCATCCATTTTAAACTATGATAAAACACATTGAAATTAGTTTTTATCAAACTGCATCACTGATTTGGAAGTGAATATGAGTCATTTCTTTCTATCAGCTGCTTGGCCAACATTTTAGTTAATTTGTTTCTTTCTTCCATCACATGATAAATAATTGATTCATTCACTCGTTTTTATTCTTTTTTAACCCAATTATTGCACAAAAACACGTATATTATTCATCGTCAGAGAAAGAGGAGAAAGGAACGATCCATGTTGGTATTTTTGCTTCTAGTGTATAATTCGGCTAAAAACACATTTGTCATTCTTACTGTCAGTATATATACGTATTCTCTACGGCTTTACCATTTTATATAATTTTAAACTTTTCAAGAGTTTAACAGAGTTTTGCTTTATCATTAATTTAATGAAAATTATTCTTCTAGATTTTGTCTTTGCGCCTATAAAATCCTGTTCTCACCATTTAGCTATTTTACTTTTCAATAACAACAATAATGAAATTTCGATTTAAGGAAGAAACACCAGCTGGTATGACCCATTTAAAATAATACAGTTTTCAAATATTAACTTTGTTCACTTGTCATTGTAGAACAACGTCGGTTAGAAGCTGAGAAAATTCGAGCAAAATATCCTGAACGTATACCGGTAGGTATTGTTATTAAGATGAAAGGTGTTATATTCTATTGTCAATCTTTCTTTTTTTAGGTGGTAGTTGAACGTGTTCCAAAATCACAAATACCCGAAATAGACAAACGAAAGTTTTTGGTGCCAAATGATATAACAATGGCTCAATTTATGTGGATAATACGAAAGCGTATTCTATTAGCACCTGAGAAAGCAATATTCTTATTTGTTGATAAAACAATTCCCCAATCAAGGTGTGTTTTTCAAAATGAGGCATTCATTTGCAACTTTCTAATCCCTGGTATCCACTTAAAGAAATATTTTCTATTCTAAACTAAGAAATTCGAAAACAATAAGCGAAGAGATCACAGTGTCTAATGTTTTTTTGTTCTAGTTCGACCATGGGGCAAATATATGCCGATCATAAAGATGAAGATGGGTTTTTATACATTGCCTACGGTGGAGAGAATACTTTTGGTAACGAAATGAAAGCTGTTGTTTAATCAAATTCAAAAGAACAACAACAATATTTTTATTATTATTATTATTATTTGTTTTTATATTTGTAACATAGTTAGAAAAAACAAAACAATTTTCTTTTTCTCTCTTTGCTACTGTATGTATCGTGCGTCTACTTATCTTAAAGTATCCAAGATTAAAAAATAAAGTTGGATTTTTTATTTATTATTCATTGTACATTTTACTTTTCCTCTTTCTAATTCAGCAAAAAGAAAAAGATCCCAAGAGAGTTAAAAAGTATCAGAATTTCATTTTTAAAAAAGATGTAGGCGTTATTGTGCTAAAAATAAAAAAACATACCATTTTTCTTTTTCTCTTTCTGTGAAAACTATTTTGTCCTCTTTTTTTTTCTATTTCTCGTGCTTGTTGCAAATTCTATTTATGATTTTTAAAAGAAGACCTAGGAGAAGAAACCAAGTTTTGCTGACTGTAATATATTGTATAAACATCTGTATCTTCTTAGATAATAAAACTTCTTTTCAATGCGCTACAGAACTGGGTAATATCGAAAAGTAACGTCAAAATTTCATTTTTATATCTTTCTGTTGAAAGTTATGTCCTACTCTTGGTTTAAGTTCAACTCAATGAGTAGTCTTCTTGATTGTTTGCAGTAGATAAAGAAACGTTTTCATGTACTCACGTTATTACTGCAAAATGCTCATATGTCCGCTTGTTTTTTATACTAACAAATTTAATCTTATTCGTCGTCTAAAGTAGTGCAAAGCTTCTATTTCAAGCATGGTTTTGGAAATTAGTTTTATTGAACTGATACATCCACCAACTACGCTCAAGTGAAACGTCTGGCCTTCTTCAGTTAGCTAGGTTCTATAACTAACTGTCCCGTATGAAAAAAAAGGTGAAAACGTCAGATGCCCCTTAAAACGTAGTTTGAGCTACATATGTGGATTGTGTGTAAGGGATTTTTCTCCGATACATTTAAGAAAGCACCAGACCTTGATTGCTGATATATTTTCGCCTTAATATGAGACTAGCATGTACACTCTTGTAAAATTTGACAAATAATTCTACTACATTTGATCTATTCTCAACATCTTTCACACTTTTTTTAAAGAAAATTTAAGTCATGGCATTAATATCAGACGTAAAATTAAGCCTGTTCTGATCAGTTGATGAATTTAAAGTTGTTCATCTTGAAAGTCCCTTTTTAGCATTCTTGTGATGATCGTGATGTTTTTGTTTTTTTTGTTTAATTGTTTTTTCTTTGTTAACAGATACATATTATCATCTTTATAAGGTGCCAGAAATGTCAACGATAAGTTCATCAGAGTCACTTACACCGTTATTTGAAAAAATTTGTACAATTTGTACAGTTGCTTTATTTTTAACTGGAACGTAGGTGAAATTTGATCATGAATCATTGACGTGACACGGTATACCTCTTTTTCTTTTCTTTAGCCAAATATGTAATAGAATTTATCGTATGCATTCAACTGGAGATATCTCTGGATTTCCGTTCATAGCTACATTGGTCAAGTAAGTGTTATGAGAATATCGACTATATAATAATATGTTTTCTTATTTAAGTTGTACATTATGGTTGTTGTACGGTTATTCATCAAGCAATTCGGCAATATTGCTAGTAAATTCTATTGGCGCCTTTCTTCAAACCTTATACATTTTATTTTATGTTCGTTATACACAAGATCGAGTAAGAAAGGTGCAACATTTTCTCTTTCACTTTTGGAAAAGACATACTTCCGTTAAGAAAATGTCTTGCCTATTCAAGTAAGATGAGAGGATCTCGAGGAATGACTGATTTTCAGTATTGAGAGAAAAATACACTGTTGTTGTTGTTTTCTCCGTTTCTTGCTTACACAAACTTGTACTTTTGTGTTCCATCAGATCTTTTGGGTGTTTTCAGTTTTGATAATACTTTCTGAAGTTTATTCAAAAACTAGTGTATGTATGCGTTTACTTTTAGACGTTTTATTTTCGTGCGGTTACTGGCGCTGTTTTATTTTTATTATCTGTTACCTATTATTTACAATATTATTTAACAGATAAAATGACAATTGTATTCCATACGGGTATCATCTGCTGTGTTTGTACAGTTGTTATGTTTGGTTCACCGTTGGTATCATTAGTAAGTACTACGTTTAACATTTATAATACATTTAATGTTTTGTAGATGAAAACCAAGCTTTAAGATAACTTTTTGTTACTAGTAGTAGAATATCTATCTTTTAACATATATTGTTTTTTAACGAGTTTTACAGTTTGAACATTAACGAGTTTGATTTAAAAAATAAGGATGCCGATCGTATGACACCTGTTAAATGTAGATGATAGCTGTAAACGATTTCAAGGATATGCAAATATAACGTTGAATTGTTAATAGAGTATCAGGTTACAATTTTGTAACTTTTATGTAAATTCAAGATAATTGACAGTATTACATAATAGAAAAATGAAATCGTCATATTGTGCAACTAACCATGGATCTTCAAAAGATACTGATAGATTTGACATAATCAATAGGTATCCACTATCTACTATTCGAGATTCTAAATTCCATATAGTTCTACCCCTGTCAGACGACGATTTAGTACGGCAGACCAAATTGTCAATCAACGTCATATAAGCTTAGATCTATCTACTATCAGCTAAATGATTGAAAAGATTGGTCAAATCAACAAGACTTTTTCTTCTCTAGGAAGCTTTTTCGAATTCGTTTCGAGTTCTGTTAGCGATGAGCGAAGGTATGGTTATTTGTTAAATATGAAGCAAACTTTCATTTATAGTAGGACAACAACAGGTCTTTCACTTGGAACTAGTCAAGGAAAGGGAACTATCGATATTTATATCAATTCTTCTATATTGTTAACTGTATTTTCTCTTTTTTTAATTTAGAAAGATGTGGTTCAAAAACAAAGTACTGACTCATTATCATTTCCCCTTTGTTTTGCAAATTTTGTTGTTGCAACTGAATGGTTTTTATACGGTTTATTGATCAATGATAAATTTGTTCAGGTAGAGACACTAGTAACAACACGATATACATATATTAAGTAGTTTTTTTCACTTAATTTAGGTGCCAAATTTTCTTGGTGCTATTCTTGGACTTATTCAAGTATCATTGTTTTTAAAATATCCGAAACAATCACCTCTGTTACCAAAAATCACAAATCTAGGAGGGATCTGAGTGCTCATTTCAAACAGTATGAATTAAACGAATCTCAAATCTATTTTTTCTACAACTAATGGAAGTTCTTGAGCAACTGTGATATTACTATATTACTATATATCGAATCTTAATTTTAAAAGACGTTCGTCGATTTTTATTTGACGTATATGAAATTGTGTGATAAGTGACTATTAATTGTCTCTTAATTTTTATTCATTATTTGATGTTAAAATGCACAGATGGTATATTTAATAATCTGTAGTAGATTCTCGAATATTAATTGATTTTTAGTTTTAATTTTGAAATTTTATTGCCACTAATATAAGTGTAATGTTTCCGTTTGCTGAAATATTTTGTTTTTTTCAATAGTCAATAAAAATTAAGCTAAAATTTTTATATACGACGTCTCTTTATGCGCAATTTAAGAGAAGATTGATCTATTAATAGTTTTCATTGAACTGTGTACGATATAAGTCGTAAAATGCAAAGTTTGATAGATATCATTTAAAATAAGAATCAAAGAACTTTATTAACTTGAATCTATCTTTTAGAACTTCTTTTATATAAATACGTACCTCAATCTTCAAATTGGAATAGGACTAACGATCGATTTGACATATGGGTATCTATGAGGCTTTTTTTTACACATTTTTTTATTAATCTGTCGATAATTTTGACGTCTGGTTACTGATAGTTCTTATTCTGTTATGATCTCTTAACAGTATGCATAATTATTGACCATAGTAACATTAAAAATGAAATAAAACAGATTAACGAGCAAATTCGATATAAAACGTTTTTTGTAAATATGACAACAATTTCATCACAAGTGTCAAATAAATATAAATTAAGAACCGTTAATAAATGTACAATAAAATTTGTAGTTTTTGAATATGCATATGACCATTGAATATATTTTTGTTTTGTATTACAAATACGATAGTTGATTGAAAATAATTTATCATCAAAATGTGTACGATAGTTAGACACGTGAATAAATACGGAAGACAATACAATAGAAAAAATCATTAGTATAAACAGATAGATTATAGAGGACGATGATTGTCTTATTGAAGTGTTCATTGTAAAAGGAAAAAAAGAAAAACAACTAATGTTACTCGAAAACAAGTTTTATTGACTAAAATTGTCTTCAATTTATTTTTGTGTCGTTCAGGTAACTGATAATCATGATTAATCTAAATGATGAAATGACTTCGACCATAAAGCTCGGTCTGCTGTAATCTCTAATCAGAATGAAGGAAATAAGCAGTGGCCATCTGATAGATATCATGATTAATCAAATGTCACAGTGTTTAGACAAATTTTCATCAATTCTTACTTTTTAGAATGTAATGCATATGTTTTTACTTTAGATGACAGATTTATGTCAATTGTTTGATAATGCAAAGAAATTTGCACTTAATGTTAAAAATGAAACAAAATTAGTCGAAGAAAATGATGAAAAGTAAACTAATTTTAATTGATTTTCATTATCGCTAAGTATATTGATATGTTTAGAACGGATGAAGTGGTAAAAAAACCACATGAAGATCCAATGATAGCGAACAAACGAACAATATTTGTTGGAAATGTGCCTATTAGTTGTAATCAAAAGGTAACTGTTTGTTTTATTTCATGTTATATTATATAGTTTTTGTAGAAACCATCTTGTTTTAATTTATATAGGATCTTAAAAAATTGTTTTCCAGTTATGGTAAAATCGAATCTGTACGATTAAGAAATATCGTATGTATTGGTTCATGTGCAAAAATTCAACTTATACGAACTGATCTTCTTCTCTCGTTAGGTACCATCCGAACCAAAAATCTCAAAGCGTGTTTCATTTATTAGGTAAGTAAACAATAAATCGCTTACATTTTTGCAACGTTTTTTTTTGTTTTTAACATTTTAGAAAACAATTTCATCCGTCACAAAAATCATTAACAGCATTTATTCGATTTAGTCATGATATAGAAGCACAACAAGCAACCGAACTGTGAGTGTGTGTACGTCCACGTCTTACTTTGATTTGTTCTATGAATAAATAAGAAAATAATTATGTGTATTACTCGTAGAAATGGACAGTTATTTAAAACTCATCATTTACGAGTCGATTTGGCATCGGATAAAAAAGATGATGATAGTACGAAAAAGGTTTGTTGGTTTTTAATTGCACTAACGAGTGATGCAGATACAGTTTTATTAATTCTTATCAAAAATATAATTTTTTAACAAAAAGTTGATGAATTTTAAAATGATAGATTATTTCTGCGTCCGATTTTCTTACACGCATTATTTTTTCAAATAATGAAACAATGTGTAAATCAACTATTTTTCATTTTCTGAACCTTTTTGTTTTTGAGAGTACTTGTATGACAAAAATGTTCTATAATGATTAATTTTTATTATCTGTTTTAGCACGATAATAAACGGAGTATATTTATTGGTTCACTTCCATTTGATGTAAATGATGATGATGTGTGGTCAACATTTGAAAATTGTGGAGATATTGAATCAGTTCGTATTATACGTGATAAACAAACTCAAATTGGAAAAGGATTTGGTTATGTTTTGTTCAAAGTAAATTGACATTGTTCATTTAATGAATTAAAAAAAAATCTAGAAGATATTTTTTGTTTAGGATCAAGCAGCTGTGGGATTAGCACTAAAAATGAAAGATTGTAAGATTGGAGAACGAGAAATTAGAATCAAAGCAGCAGTTAAAAAGCCTAAAGTAAATAAAATCACTAAGTTTCGACAAAACCAACATATCATATTTATTCCGTTTATTTAGGTTGTTACTACAAATCATTATTTACCGAATAAAAATAATCGATTTAAAAGAATCAATCAAAATGATGATGACGAAGCGTTTGAACGAAATAATACATCACAAGATAAATTAGCAAATAATACTAGAATAAAGTTATCTAAAAAGAAAAAGTTTGCCATTAGTAATGTAAAACAAGGACGTGTGGAAAAAAAATCAAAAAAATCAAAAGATATGAATGATAAAAAGAGAAAAAAGCCAAAGAAAAAAAATTTGTCGATCAAAACAAGTTTAGAAAAAGGAGTTATTCATATGAGAAAAAAGAGTTAATTATGCTGTTTGTAAAATATGTTTTCTATAATAAATAAATAAACAAAATTTCCTTGCTTGATCATCTGTTTTGCACTAGTAACAACATTCGATAACTAACTATTCAGTGACGAAGAAGACATGTATCGATTATGATTTTTATGGTTTTTATTTTAAATTTTAATTGATACTATCGATGGGTATAATCATTTTCTTTATTATACAGAAAACAATTTTCCATTTTGTATCAATTGTTAGTGTATGCTAAGTATAGGAAAATGAATCTGTAACGGTAATGCACATAAAAAAAATTTCTGCGAAGCTCCTATATCTTTGCTAAATGGTGGTTCATTTTGTTTTTCTCATGTCACTAGGCAACTGTGATATATACCCCTGGAAAGCAAAAGCTGGATTCAGTATTTGAGCTCTTTTGATACCATAAAAGGATGTTTTGAGAAAAGTGAATATACCATTAGATAGCGCGTGAAATTCTGTACAAAACTGTGTATTTC